CGATACCAAGAGAATTTGCAAGTGGCAGTCAAGGTAGATGAAGATATGCCAGCGTCTGACTTAAACAATCTTAAACATGGTAGCACGCGCGCTGGAGTGCCCTGTGTTTTGTTGGCATGCGTTGGGTGTGGTTAAGTTGGAAAGTGTAAAAAAAACGAGGTTTTTGACTCATTCCGGTTCTCAGAACCAGGAAGACACGCCACTGATCCCTCGAAGGGCGGGCGGTTTTTCTTGAAAATGAGTGTTTCGCCTAGGCGGGAGCCTTGTTTTCAAAGGCAGGAAAACCGAAAAGTTGTGTATACCATGTTTTAGGTGTTTTGAGCTTATTTGTAAGGACTGCTTTCAAGAGAGGATTTGGGAATGTTTGGGCTTGGACTGCTTCGGGGATGCTTGGGCTTGAAGGTTTTGGTCAAAAAGGCTTTGGGAAGGTTTGGGCTTGGACTGCTTTGGTGGGCTTGAAGGTTCAGGCAAGAAAGGATTTTGGGATGCTTGGGGCCGGCTTTTTTTCGGGGGGGAGATGTCTGCAGCAAGTGCTATGTATATTCGCAACATGGATATTCCCAACATGGATATTCCCAACATGGATACTCCCAACATGGATATTCCCAACATGGATATTCCCAAACCCCCCCCCCAGCCCCCCCAAGCTGGAAACCCCAGGAAACGAAGGGCACACGAGGGTGCGTCCTACCTTAAACATGCATTCATAACCGGGAAACCCCCCCAACACAGCAGAATATCCCGTCGAATGGATACCTAGACACATGCACACAGCAGAATATCCCGTCGAAAGGATCTCTCCCAGCATTTGCTGCACTCTGGGAACGTGGTCAGTGCAACAGTTGCTCAGCTCGGAACTGCAGATGGCAAGTTGTATGGATTGCGGATACCGAAGCAGTTCCTCATGCAGTAGTTGGCCTCGGTTTAGGGTTTAGGGTTTAGGGTTTAGGGTTTAGGGTTTAGGGTAAGCGTCTCCCGATTCCGAGCGTTCAGAAGCTGCCAAGAGAAGGGGAACCATGGGAACCTGAAAAGTGAAGAGGGAAAAACCTCCAAGCACGTGGACCCTCTATGACATCTGCTTGGTCGTAGCCACACCAACACACTCTCGCCGCCCAAGAGACAAAGTGCCATTGTGCGAGAGGGTTCATCCGCTCCTCATTCAACTCCTTGTTTCTGTGGAGCTGCCGGCAGATGCCGGAGGCTTCGGGTTTAGGGTTCTCTTTCTTTAGGGCTTAGGGGGGTTTAGGAGCTTTTTGTTTTTGCCATGCACCTCGCCGAAACTTCGGGTTTAGGTCCACATGTCAGATGCTGCAGCGAGCTTGGTAAGTGAAGGTCTGCAGATACGTCGAGAGTCGGAGTGGGGAGGTTTCTTTACGCGTTCGAGGAGTTAGAAACATGAACATCCCGAGGACCCGAGTGTCAGAGGTGGGAGTTTGAAGGTCCGTATGTTCTTCGGGCCGGTGGGTTCGCAAGTTTCAGGGGTGCCGAGTGTTGAGAGTCGAAACTTCCAGAGTTTGGGATGTTCGGATTGGTGAGAATTGAAGAAGATCGACGTCCTTGCAAAGTAATTCGTGGGTTTAGGGTTTAGGGTCTAGGGTTTAGGGTTTAGGGTTTAGGGTTGGAACGCATTCCTTCAAACTTCAAACCACAAGAAACAGTCGAGCTCGATCGCCTGTCAATCTGCAAAAATCCTCTCAAACTCGGGAGTCAATCGCTTTCGAGGGGTGTTGAGAGTTTGAGGTCTGACAAAAACTCGCTGGATATTGAGAGCTTGGAAGTTTCACAGGTTTTGCCACTTTGACATCTGCTCGATTGTGGGACTTTAGCTTCGACCCCTTCTTAACGACCCTCGAAGCAGATGTAAGGCTCATCTAGCAGTGTAGTCAGGGAACCTCCTAGAGGTACATCCGCCACGAATTTTCTCTGTTTTGAATGCCTGTTGGTGCGGGTGACCGCTGAGTGCAGCGGAGGGTCCTGGATAAGGTCCCTGGAACACCATTCCACAGCCGCATGGGTCTCTCTGAAAGTCATCAGAAACTGCTTCGCAAGATCCGCCTTGCAAGCCAGTGGGTCACGAGCTAGTAGATGTGTATTTCTATAAACTTCAGTATGTATAGATCGAAATATGCAGATAACAAAAGCGTGCACACACACACACACAGAGATATGCTCCACTCCATACATTCGACCAGACTCGCAGCAAAATGCAGCAAAGAGTCTGGAACGTCAATCAAGTCAGCATTTTGCCGGCCTTTCCTGAGCTACAGTGCGTGACTCTTTCGCTGGTGAAGCAACGAATCGAATCGCGTGCCAGTATCTTGCTGGCAGCTGCCAGCCTTTCACTCTTGCGAAGATGACCTGCCGCCGAGAGGCTTTGTGCAAAACATCTGCCACAGCCACGTCGCCCCTTTCCTGTTCAGCAACAACTCACCTCAGGATGTTGCAGACCAGCTCGCATTCTGCGCCATGGAATGTCTGCAAATCACACTTCGGGCACTCATCTTCCCAGAAAAGAATAGAACATCCCCCATTGCCGGCACTACGATCCAGTCTTTCTCTGAATTTCCCTGGCGTGCATCGGATGACCTGATGTAAGCTCTCTGAAGCTGCCAGCACTCAATTTCACCCAAGCAACGAACCGAACGCTTCACCTTGGTGAGGTCCTGTCGAACTTATGTAAGACGTCGCGCAGCGCATTGCAGAGATGCACATGCTGATCAGTTTTTACCGACATGACCAAGCAGTCCGTTTGCAGGCTGGCAAACGTATGTACCCTATGATACGGATTACGGTGGATGTGCATTCCGGTAGGGTTTAGGGTTTTGGGGTGTAGGGTTGAGGGCGCACAGGATGTAATAACGTTTATAGGAATTATAGGCTTCCTTTAGGGGGTTTTTCGTGTCTATGAGGGACTGTGTCGTCACGTGCCCTCATGTGCAGTCGCCCGGTCCCTATCGGTGATCTGCTTTCTGGACTGTAGCCTCGGACAGGCGTTCCGCTGAACCAAGCCGCCGGCTCGAACCTCGACGACTGCAGCACAGTGATTCTGGTGCTCTTCTTGGGGGTTTGCGAAAATTTGGGACCCCTAAAAGAGACCCCGAGTAGTAGGATTCCCCGACAAAAACGACCCCAATCAGGTACCCCAATTTCGGCAAACCGTGTTGTTGAAGCGTTCACCGTTATAAGATCATGGTGTGAGCCCTGCCGAACGCGCTGACAACAGTTCTCAATGCGAGGAGTCATGGGGAGCTACCCACAGGAGCTGCCGAAGTGCCAAATTCAGTCTGACAAAAAACGAACGACGGAACTCCACCTTGTGCTTCGACAAGCAGCATTACACCTGCGCGGCGCCACCAAAGCCAACCTTGCAACGAACGTTCGCTTGACAGCTGCTCTCACGCTCTCTCTACCCCTCTTGAACCAGGAGCTTGGCATATGCCTGGAAGTGAGACGACACACACTATCACACTGTCATCAGGACTGCCACAATATTCATGGAAGAAGTCCGGCAAATACATGCTCCGAGGCATGGAAGCAAGCTTTCCATGCTACTCGCTCGAATCCCTAAACCCTAAACCCTAAAACCCATACCAAGAAGCGATGCCAAGATCGAAGCGCACAAAGCGCTCGAGGCCATAAGCCATCCTCAAAGCTGCAGTGTACTTCAGCGAGCTCTCAGTGTCTCGGGTCGGAGGCTGGTAAAGAACCGAATGCCTTCGCACTTCTCCAGATTCCAATCGTCTGAGACCAGAATAGCTTAAACGAGTATCATACCAATAGTCCTATACAAGTAAAACTTACATCAATACCATACCAGCAATATCATACCGGAATACTTTACCATTGGTATCATGGAAACTTATACATTTTAACGAGCTAACCCTGCAAATCTCTCCAATAAGATGGGAAGATCCAGTGTATAACACACTGCACATGCTTCGGCATCATGTTGTCTCGACAGCTCCTGCCTGCCCATGGCCGTCGTCTTTGCACCATGGCTTCGCCAAAGAACCAAGACACAGCTGGGCACCCTGTACCCTAAAAGCTAACCCCTAAACCCTAAACCCTTACGGTCGAGGGTTCTATGGTCCACTATGTGGCTAAGAAGATATGGGCGGTGAATTTGTTCAGCACAATCCGGATGCTGCAGGAGGCTTGGGGCTTGGAAGTGCCTTCAGGATCGTTTCACCCCCAACACGAGATAACAAAGAGCTAGCGGGTTGAGATTGGAGTTCAAGGTCACTACATTCGGGGCATGAGCGAGTGCTTTCGTTTCGGGCCATTACCAGCCTATGTGGGCAATCTTGAGCAGAAGCCCGGGTTCTGGTCTGAAGCTGTGATTAGGTCAACATACTGTCACAAGCAGGGATCTCTCTGATCGCTTCTTTGCAGCCGTAGCTGGCAGTGATCCGCTCCAAGACCGTAAGAACGGCCCATCACGCAAAACTCGTATAGTTTGCTCTTGCTTGGGCCTGCTGCGCACCATGGACGACTTGGGGATAGAAACCTTGCTACCGTCGCCGGTTTGAATTCTGATTCTTCCAGTATGCCCATATCACTATGATGAGTTGTAGCCTTGGAAACTATGATGAAAAGGATCCCTTAGTTAGGGGATTCCTTCCTTCTCGCTGTGGCCACCAGTGCCAACAGCAGCAAACAGGCCCAATCACTCACTGCGGAGCAATGTTTCCAACAAAGCCGCAGATAATCCGCCACCAGCGCCATCAAACATCCGATCCATGTAGTCATTGAAAAGAATTGAGAGTGTGCGCTGTGGCTCGCGCAGCTTGGCACGCTGCTGTTGCCAACAGTCCGAAGTGTCACGGCATTGCGGGTTGCTTGGAACTTATTTCGTCTGTGGCGCAGTACATGTTTCAGCTCCTAGCGGGACGACTGCTCACGAAGTTCCTGGGTCTAGGCGGATCCTGTGGACTGCTGAGATCTGTTGGCCGCAAGCGTGCAAGTCTCCTTTCATGCCCCAGCGCTGGTGCGTTGCGGGCTCACATCTTGGGCATCATGGGCATACCAGGCATCTTCGGCATTCCTGGCATCATGCCTGCCACTCGCATCGCGCAGGGTGAAGGAGTTCCGACATCCGTTGGCCCTGAAATTTCGATGATCCGGCTTCGCTGTAGTCTTGGAAGGAGGTAGCAGGAGTACTCTCTTATCGATTTGAAATGGCCTCCTAGAAGCACGCTTGGGCCTCTGCTGAATCCAACGTGCCCTTGCCTGCATCTCACTGGTGCCATCGCGAGAGCGTGCCCAACAAAATTCACAATCCTACCAACATATGCTTTTGCAGACAATGCCAATGTCTGCTGGTTTGATGAACCTGCTAGAATGGTTTAGGGTTTAGGGTTTAGGGTTTGGGTTAAGGGTTAAGGGTTAAGGGGTTAAGGGTTTAGGGTTTAGGGTTAAGGGTTAAGGGTATCCGACTTTCAGCAACCCGGACATGTCTTGTACGACCCTCTTGCCTGGCATGGAGGGCATGCCCGGCATGCCCGGCAGCCCCGGCATCGCCCCGGGCAGCTTCGGCATGGTCGGAAGCCTTAGGGATTAGACCCCCGAAGCCCTGTACGTCCAGGGTCTACTGTTTAGATTTAGGGTTTAGGGTTTAGGGTTTAGGGTTTAGGGTTTAGGGTTTAGGGTTTAGGGTTTAGGGTTTAGGGTTTAGTAAACCCGAAACACTTGGCCCTGTGGGCTATAAATCCTAAGCCGCAGGTGCTCCTTGTGCTGTTTGCTGATGCCTTACGATTCGCGGGTGACACATGGAGATGTTCTACATTGGGGTTGGGATTCCTTTCCGGGGTCCTCTTACCGCTGTGAAGAAGCTTCTTTACTACAAGGGGCTGCGACTGGAGGTATGGCTGCACACCGCCCAAGTCATGTTGGACATGTCGACGCTGACATTAGAGATCCCGTATCCCTACTTAGGTACATCGGCAACCCTATAAACGCTTAACCCGAAACCCTAAACTGTCGGTGCCAGGAGACATCCCTGGCAGAATTCCGCCGAGTGCCGGTTTCGGAGCAGCTGCGGCTGCTGGCAACTTGGGCATCGGCAGCACCATGCCTGCACCATTTGGGGGGTTGTTCTCAGAAGTTTCACCATTTTTCTGTCAACAGTATGTTTAGGGTTTGGAGTTACGAGAACTTTTGAACCATGCCCTTCCCAACTCTTTCAAAGGTCACATTCACTTCGCTCTTGCCTGGCGGAGGGGGATAGATGGGCGGTGTGAGCCCCTTCTCGCGGATCAGCATCTGATAGTACTCAATCCTCGAAACGCGCGGACATTAGGGTTGGCCTGGGGCGTCAAATTGTGGCTACCGGGCAAGCACTACCGGCTTCATAGTGTCCACGTCCAAACTGCTTGCCTACTCCTGCGCCGCATGCAGAGACGTTCTGACACACCTTCTGGATCCTCGTGCCATGATGGGACCTTTACTAGGATCGTACTCCCTTTGACGTTGTATGAAACCCTCTACCCTTCAAATTCTCCACACTGAACCTGATTCCCCTCTCTTGCTGCTGGGAGGCTTGTTGTTGATGTGGCGTCGGCCCGTCAGATGCTGCCGTCGTCCGGTGAGGCCGCTGTGTGTCAGGAACATGTCGCAGTACTCACCTTCACACAGCTTTCTTTGCCACCCCGCACAGTGGTGTTCAGGGAATAGGGCAGACTCTCATAAACCAACGGCTGGTCGATTGAAGGAACCACAGATCGGACCAGGCCTTAATTGGTTGAACAATGCAAAAAACATGTCTCTCTCGAATCGGCAAGCCCCACCCCACCACCCCACCCCCGACCTGGAACATGCGCAAGCTGCTGTAAAGCCCGTGAGCATTCACCCTGCTGCACATAAGTTGTCAACACTTGTTGCTACAACAACGCCACACACCTTCACCACCTGCGCCCACACGAAGCTACGCCAAAAAAAAGTAACAAAGTCAACGAATAATCAGCATAATACACCATGCTGTGAGAGGCTTTCAAAGCACGTGGTATGGATGAGGACTCGAACAAGAAACAGCAGCAACACAAGAAGCAAACTCACAGCCGAAAAGACCTGGCTTGGGAGGGACATCGGAAGAACCAACAAGCCCACACCTTTTTTAGGTTTAGGGCTTACGGTTTAGGGTCTTAGGGCTGAGGGCTTAGTGCTGAGGGCTTAGGGTTTCAGCTCAGGGGCAGTAGAACTTCGGCATGGTCGTCGGGATGCACTGAGCGCGACAGCTCCGGTTCTCTCTTTCTTGGGAAGCCCTGCTTCTGTTGTTGCGCCTTGAGCCCGAGGCTGCGAGTGAGCTTCGTAAGAACCCACGCACACAAATGGACATAAGAATAGGAACCAGTATCATAACCATCACCAAACAAAAAAACAAGGACGAACATGATCACCATCATAGTTTATAGCAGACCATAATAATAATAACCTGAAGAATAGTAACAATAATCATACTTCACCGTTTCACTCGGAGCATTTGCATTTGCAGAGGTTTGCCAGAGACAGCTTTATCCCCCCGAAGCCCAGCAGATGCGGAGCTGCGCAGCCGGGAGAAGGTTTACTTTCATTTTTTGGCACCCGGGTTTAGAAATTAGGGTTTAGGGTTTAGGGTTTAGGGTTCAGGCCAGAAAAGGGGTGTGGCAAAACCTTCACAGGTGCTCAAGAAGCCCTTTCGGTTTGGAAGGCAGGCCAAACCAAACAGCAGAGCCTCAAGCCGAACTGTCGACCCTAGAGAATATCAGAAGCCTTGGGATGTACCCCGTTATACTAAAAGTCCTTATCTAATCGGGGTACTATAATCCATTAAGGACTGATAGTAAAAGGGGGAACCATCCCAACAGCAGCCATTTACTCTAGATCCCGGCCAAGAAGCTAAACATGTGGTGTTAAAGACCAGCTACCCTCTGGTTCTTCAAGCCCTTCTTCCAGTTTCTCAAGCTGAAAGCTAGGTTCCTGATGGCGTATGTGTCATAGACTGGTTGGGATACCATTGAAAAATCAAAATGTCTATTCCTTACTGGGCTTAAGTAGCCTTAAACATGTATAAAATGTTACCCAATGATGACAAAGAGTAGGCTCCCGGACGACTGCGCCGTGGTTGTTTTGGGCCACGCTGGTGAAGAGGGCACGCCGCAACTCCGGTCAACCCTTGGAACCCGGCCCGAGGACTCCCATGAACAATGCCCCTATAGGGAACATGCTGCATCAATAGCGGTTTAGGGTTTAGGGTTTAGGGTTTAGGGTTTAGGGCTTGGGTTTAGGGTTTAGGGTTTAGGGATTAGGGATTAGGGATTAGGGATTAGGGATTAGGGATTAGGGTTTAGGGTTTAGGGTTTAGGGTTTAGGGTTTAGGGTTTAGGGTTTAGGGTTTAGGGTTTAGGGTTTAGGGTTTAGGGTTTAGGGTTTAGGGTTTAGGGTTTAGGGTTTAGGGTTTAGGGCTAGGGTTTAGGGTTTGTATTCGAATTTCGGCACTCTTTAAGCCAGCAAACCTCGAGACTTGCCTGGACCTTCGACGGTGGCCCGCCCCGAGCGCCAGTGAAGCACTGGGCAGAAGAATCTGGGGTCTTAGGGTTTAGGGTTTAGGGTGTGGAGTTTATGGGGGTTTCCGATATTAGGAGTACCTTATGGGGGTCCTTATTGCAAGGGAATCCTACTATTTGGGGGGTGGATTATAGTTAGGGGTCCCTTATTTCGCAAACTCCCACCTATGTCATGAGTTTATTGATTCAGCACAAGCTGTCTGGGGGAGAGAGAGGATCGCCGGCATCATCGTATGTCCAACGCAATTTCTGCCAAGGCTTGCCAAAACCTGCGCGCTGTTTGTCTCAGGCTTGGACCCATGCACCCAGCACGGAAGTCAGAGCCGCCTCATGGACCTTCTTTGGCCGACACACCGAAAATGACTGAAAGCACATGCCTAAGTAGTGTCTGCCCCCGCGAACGCCCCGTGGTCCGGGCAGGTGGGTGGGGAAGAGGAAGCCTTAGCTTTCACGTCCTGCCCCTGGACTAAGCCTGTGGCCATAGGCAAAGGTGTGGTGCAGCAGGACAAGACCGTCAGCAATGCCTTCCGTCCGTCAAACCCTAGGGCAAAAGCACAAAGCACAAGACAACAAATCGAAGCCATCAGGCGACTCACCTGGCGCCACTTGGGTAGGGAGGTCTGGAGCTCGCTGACAATCTCAGGAGCCTCCTTCTTGGAACTTGAAAAGCAGCATGTGTTTGCACATGCCAATGATGTAAACTCGACCCAAGAAACAAATGATCTACTTCGATCATTTCCTAGCCTACGGAGCTGATGGGGGAGCCATCCTGCTCCTTCGCACCTCTCATGGTTAGCAATCCCACACAAGGAGGGTGGGAACAAAGCGAATCATGATGAACTCATAAGCACCTGCCCTGCAACCCCGAGCGGAACGGAGTTGCAGTCCTCTGCAGCTGCTAGGAAAGGGACGGCCAGATCCGCAGGCATGTGCAGTCTTTGTGAAACCTGCGAGGTCAGGCACACTTCTAACAGAGTGAGTGTTTCAGGCTCCTTGTTCTGCACTTCCTCACACAGGCGCTGCATCTTCATCGAACCTCTTCCTCTGGCATCTATCGAAACACCATCGCACTTGCTACCATCCGAGGTGTTGTGCTCGAAGTATGATCTGGACTCAAATTTCAGTGCAAGCTCTAAGACATGAATTGCTCACCAACTTGTCTTCCCTTCATGGCAGCCACAACTACAGCCAAAAGGACCCCGTGATGCACAAAGGATCCGAGTATGGGGGAGACATCTGTCCTAGCTGAACCTGGGGCCCTGGGGACAAACTATCTTTCATCTTTTCTTAACAAATTCTTGACCATAGAACTTATTGGTCTTTAACTTTAACTAGTTTGGGGTAATTTCCCTGATATACCCAAATACACTATAATACTATAATCCAATAATCCTTGTTATAGGAAGGGTACCCCCCATATCATTTTCGGAAACCCCCCCATATTGAACGTTCTTGAACCCAAGTTCAGGGGCCTCGAGTACTTCGTCCAATGCGGTACGCTTCGCTTTGTCAGCCCGGCTAAGGTCGACGCGGGCACGGACCTGAGATTCCCGAGCAACCACTAGCTCACACTGCAGTTGGTTGTTGATATTGATAGTGTCATTACTAGTAAAGCTATTTAGTAAAGAGGGAGTTCCTAAATTAAGAGGGAAGAGGGGGTAGTTCTGATGGTCACTCGGCTTGCACGGCCGGCGTTCTTTTGGAACGAAGATCGCGCTCTCGCCTTGGAGCGTGTGCGTGGAGCGCCTCCTCGACAAGTGTCATCGCTTTTCGGCCTCTGGGTTCGCGAAGTGCGAAACTGCCGGCGCTTCTCGACAATTTTGTTTTGCCAAGTGCGAAGTCTCGTCGCTTTGGACGTCTGGCTTCGCCGAAAGCAAACCGATGGCAGCATTGCTTACATTACGAGTCTACCATGACTCAAGGGTCAGATCTTCCTCGTCCCTGAGGCTTCTGCGCAAGCGTCGACGAGGTCTCGCATGACCTGTGTGCTTGGAAACTTCGGCTTGTTCCTTCAACCCCCCCCCCCCCCCAAAAAAAACCCAGAACTCCTTGAATTCCCTGAAGTTTCTCATCCTTTCGAGGACCTCCACACTGCCCGAGGTAGCAGCGGCATGAAGGGCGCTGCGGCCTCTCTTTGATTGATGGTAAAGTAATCTGCATATGTATGACTGCCCTGATTGATGGCTATTTCGTGACGAATACGTTTGGGTTTCATCACATGTGTACCTGTTCAGCATGAGGGGCATGCGTGGGATGCATTGGGACTTACTTCCGGATGTCTGCATCTTGAGCTACAGCAGGTTCTTGGAGGGCTTGTCATGCTGTGCCTGCATTCCATACTAATGGGTGGCACAGCCTGTGTCCAGCGAAATCACGGAAGGATCTGCCTGGCAGAAGCCGGAAGCCACGGTCATTCGGCTCTATCGCATTCTGTTGTGAGAGGACTTCAGGCACACCAGGAGTGCTGAGGATCTGAAGTACATCAGCCTAGAAAAGCACAGATAGCTGCGTCAGGAGCATTCGATTCTTTTCCTACTATTCTGGGAGCTGACATTGAGACCCTAGCATCCCGAAAGCAAGGGCCTTCTGCTCCAAGCACATCTTCACCACAGCAGCATTGCCTTGCTCGGCTGCGATGAGGAGATCGTGGCCTAGCCTTGGCCGCTGGGGTCTTCGAGCTTCGATGGCTTTTGGGCATCATCGGGAAGGGTGTAGAGCCTAGAGGGGACTCGTTTTTGAGCCTATGGTAGAATTGCATGCTTGTGTTCAGCAGACACTGAAGCGAGCAGACTGGAATCACGATTCGCATGCCGTAAAGCAGCTTTAGGCCGCACCCGGCACGCGTGGGCAACACATGGAAGGGCTAGCGTATCATGTGAGCCTGTGAGTGGGTCATCGTGACACATCATGGGTCCGGGTCCGGTACTTTGCTCGCCACTTGGCAAACCGATCCACCACTGGAGCTTCTCCAGGATAGCCTCTGTGCTTTGATGAGCAAGGTTGCTGGAGCTTGGGTCGAATCCCCCGAGCTCTATCAGCTGATGCAAGTGTCGGCTTATGAACCTTTGAAAACCTTCCGCCTCGAAATTGAAACACAGCTTCCGCAAAGTTGGGGGTGTCAGGGCCAGCGTAGCCTCTCGGCGGAGCGCGAGGGCCCCCAAAGACGGTCGAGCTCATGGGCAGGGCATCTCCTCGAGAACAGCGCTTCACTGAACGCGCGGGCATGTGATCCACTTCGGGATGTTCCCCCTTATACGAACAGTCCTTACTAGGAGTAGTACAGGGTGGTATTCTAATCCCTATGAAGGACTGTTGGGAACATCCCAAGATCCGCTACTTGTACCAACTGCAAGCTCGGTCCTCGCTACAAGCCGCAAGCACCGGCAACGCCTTAGTGGAGAGACTCGATGGCATTTCTCGTTCGTGGTTTGGATAGTATTATGAATTTGAAATTCTATTCTTATTGAGTTTAAGTACCCTTAAACATGTAAAATGTTACCCCATTATGACAAAGATTTGGTGCTACTATAGCTTCAGCGATTCAGCGAACAGCTAGGTCCGAGCTTGGGACCAGGGAAGTAGCGATGGCTCGGCCCTGGACAAGATCCAAGTGACGCTGGTGCAAGCTCTTGTGTGGCTTTCAGGTGACAGAAGGTACAGTAGGAAAACACCACCCTAAACCCTAAACCGTAAACCCTATAAACCCAAAACCCTAAACCCGAAAACACGTCCCCAGCAACGGGCCAGCACGCTCTTTCTGCAACCTTCGGCTCTTACTGCACGTGGCCTGCCTCCCCAGGGAGGGGAGGAATTGGGAAGTTGCAGGGGACATTGGGGACTTTGGGGAGGGGAGGCGGATGATCTTCAAGATATCCGGTGAAAACTACGCAAGGCTTAGGCGTGGGATGCGCGGCTTCTTGTATATCAGACCCTCAACGAGGCAACCGAGATAGTTAAACCTATGTAGAATCTATGCGCAGTAGGCTTTGCAATTGTGCCGGCACCCCTCTGTGCAAAAGCAGGCTATGCACACTGGGGGGAAGTGAGTAGCCAAGGCTTCGAGAAGATCTCTCAGTGACTCAGTGACGCCAGACTTTCAGAACTCGATCTTTTCCGCCGGTGGCCACACGGGAGCCATCCATGCTCCAGTCCACAGCGTACACCTCGCTTCCGTACCCTAAGGGTCCATGTACCTCTATCGCCTATACTTGGGCACTAAAGCTACGAAAAAGCGACCCCTTTAAGGCCCAAGTATATACTATATTGGTACATGGACCCTTTGGGGTATGTGGTGAAGGGAGGAAGGGTTGGCGGCAACGCTGTGTGAAGCGCAACACGGATGACGCAAGCATCTTCCAAGCATGCGAGCCACATGTCAACTGCGCGCTGAAGACAAACCCCTTCATAAGCAAGACAATCAAATAGGAATGGAGTCATCAAAGCCATGTTGGTAATGAAGCACTTGTAACAGGAGATTCGTAGTATACGAAATCTCGAAGATGGTAAGACAAGATAGCAATTTTCATGATGATGTTCGTAAACAAACGCGAATAGTTGTAATCGCAATGATCGTAGACATCATAGCGGAAGAGCAGCAAGAATGGCCACCATAGAAACAGTAATAAACGCCTTAGTACTACAAATCAAAACTCTCGCAATTACAATCAGAGTAGCATAGAAACAGTAAGAAAACACGATAGTACTACAAATCATAACTCTCGGAATATCAATCAGAGTAGCAGCATGCACTTACACTTGGGCCTCGTCGGCGTGTCCCGGCAAGTCCTCCTGCAACTTGCGCCGACCAACGTCCTCGGCTACGTCAACGCAGTGCAATGCCGGTAGCAAAAGAGGAATGATGAGAAGGATGATGGTAAGTAGCACAAAGCGGCACACTGCAGAGGCGCATAAAAATGCCACTGCCGCAAAACAACACAGGGCAGCCTGCTACATGTGGCCAAGGTGAGGCAAGACCCATTCAACACGCTTGCTGTCCGATGCTCGACACAAGCAACGACACAGAATGAAATCTTCTGAGAATCCCAACACTTGGCGGTTGAGTCTTTCGACACACTGACAAGGAGTCGGCTATCTCCAGACCAAGCCAGCTGGTACACATCACCTGGCTCTTACGCAGCGCAGTTCTGCACATAACATTAGAAGAGCTTCGGACAAGAAGTATATACAAAGCATATATCAGGAACATCTTCCCGATATGTGCGATTTACAGTCTTCGTGAGAACTAGATCGGCTTAGATCGTGTCGTGATTACTCCTCGACAGATGGGCTAGTGAAAAAAAAAAACTGATTCATTTGACCAATGGGTTCAGGAAGAGCCCGGCCTACGTGGCCGCGAAAGGCGTGGACGTATTTGCCGGTCCGGCCGTCCCAGAGTCTCAGGCAATGAGTTGGATTTAGTTGCATGGGGGGGGGGGGGGGGCACAGATGGATGAGGGGGGGCTTAAAAAGAAGTCTTAGGACCTGCTGGATCAAAACAGATGGCATCTCTAGCCGCAAGCCAGACCCGCCTCACGGACTTGTCAAAAGAGGCAGATGCAAACCATCGACCATCCGGGGAGAAGGCCACCTGGTTCCTGGGCAAAGTCAACCAGTATGGCCAAATAACCCGTGACTAGTCTACGGCATGCCTTCTGAACCCTTAACCTTAAACCCTTTTGAGCCAGGAACGCCTAAACCCTAGGCCTCGAAATCCAGTCTTGCCGCAGCATGGAATAAATTTAGATCCGGCTCACGATCTTCTGGTGCCCCGTCATGCGGCACACAGGCGTCTTCGAGACCTGGTGTAACCCCAAACTGATGATAACGAATGTCTACCTTAACATGTCTAAGATTGTATACATACATACATACATACATACATACATACATACATACATACATACGTTTACGTACACACACACATATATATATATATATGTATATACATATATACACATACACAAACAAAGAAGTGAAGATTTACATGTATATATCTATATATACACATTGATTTATGTTTTATGCACGGGTGTAGGTTGGAATTAGGAATCCACCAGGCTGTCTTGCCCAACCCGACTCGTCGACTCGTCCCTGAAAACAAAGCAACTTAATGGTTTTAGGGTTTAGGGTTTAGGGGTTTGCAGATAAAGAAATTACAGCATCAATTCTCTGAGGGAATCTTCGACTGCAAAAAGTACCAATAAGGACGGCCTTGTAGCACCTTATAAACCTTTATGGTTACTTCTTAACTTTGCCTGCCCTTTCATCTAATTCCTGGGATTCAATGGTCATTTATAATTCTGGGCGAGAAAACAGCCCCTGAACAGATGCAAATAATCGGGCTTTGTCATCGTCTAGTTTGTTCATTTTGCTCTTTTCATGCAATCCGCTATTCACTCGCCTGTTTTATTTGATATGAAATGTCATGTCTTGTCTTTGTCCATTTACACGCCCATAAAAACCTTAGATGCAATACGCACGTAACTCATGCAATCACTTCGCTTCATTTTCATTATGACCTGGCACTTCTTGCCCTAAACCCTAAACCCTGGACCCTGACTAAACCCTAAAGTCTAAACCCTAAAGTCTAAACCCTAAACCCTAAACCCTAAACCCTAAACCCTAAACCCTAAACCCTAAACCCTAAACCCTAAACCCTAAACCCTAAACCCTAAACCCTAAACCCTAAACCCTAAACCCTAAACCCTACCTTCTGCAAAAAGCTGGACGGCCGAGAAGCCAAAGGTCGCCAGAGAAAAAGCGTGAAGTCATCGGAGCCCGACAGCAAGCGCTCGCCACCACACAGCTCCACCTAGGGTTTAGGGTTTAGGGTTTAGAGTTTAGGGTTTAGGGTTTAGGGTTTAGGGCCTGCTGAAGAATGTCTGCCTTTTTTCCCAGGGTTCCATATCCGCACTACACCCCCTGAACCCTGTCAACTCTATAGCCGGAGCTCTAAATTAGGGTGTAGGGTTTAAGGTTTAGGGTTTCGACTATCACGCTGGCGAAATTTAGGGTTTAGGGCTTGCGGTCACCTCCAACTCCTGAAACCCTAAACCCTATAAACCCTGAAGCTTATCAGCGCTTTGAGATTGGACAAGTCGAAGAGAGCCACATGTAGGCGCAGGGTGTTCGAATCTTTTTTGGTGCTCGCATAGGGTTCAGGGTTTAGTGGATTTTGGCTGTATCTCATGGTTCTTGGTTCTGTGCCTCTTGGGGGGGGGCTCAGCGGGCTTTCTTAGGCTTCGCAGCTCCGGGCTGAAACTCAAAAAACGGCTGTCGGGATAAAGGCTGCTCTGAGCGCTGAGCTCATGGCTTTTTGAAATAGACGAAGGTCGATAGGAAAGTTTGTTTTTTTCTCTCCGACTCTGCTCTACTTGGTCCTTCCAGACTTTAAGCCTGGCGGCAGCTTCCGCATAGCGTTTCTTCGCCGCCTCCTGGCAATTTAAGGAACGCCTAGTAAACTCAGAGAATTGTGGATCCGTCACTCTTCATGGGCTTGTCGCAGGCTTGCCTTCTTCTCAGGCAGATCCGCAAACTTCTGCGGCTCATGTGAGAAGGGCCCAGATCGGATGACGTAGTCCTGAAGGTTGAAAGTTACAGCTTTTTTTATCACTTGTGAAGATGCTGCACATCACAAAACGAGTAGCAGAAGCAACTGCATGCCGCCGGCACGACAGCTCGGCGGAGCAGACCCAGCTGAGCTACCTAGCTCCATCTTCGGCCAGTGTGTCAAAATCTGGCACAAGGACATTCCCAACCCCGACACAGATGTCCGTGTTCAGGGCGAGCGTGTTTATCCAGTGTCCATGGCCTTTCAGCTCATTCCTCAGCTTCCACAGGCCTAACAGACCATAACACTTTAACGACAGGGCCCGCTCTGCAGCCGAGCTTCAGCATGGCCCCATCTTTGGGATTCCAGACCTTGATCACAGTGTCCCGGCCAGCTGTATACACGACGCCACCGATGTCTGAACGCTCGCCAGACCATTTGACCTCGGAAGATGCAGGCGCAGCCTGTGGCCTGTTTTGCCAAGCAGAGGGTTTAGGGCTTTGGGTTGGGATGTGATACTGAGAGCTGTGTATAAGGGGGAACATCCCTGGCGAAAGAATGTTCTGAAAGCAAAGCAAGTGGCCTGCATCACAGGCTGGGAGTGGGATGTCAGACTTCGAAGGCATACGCCCACGTTCACATCCCACAAGCGCACGGTCTTGTCCTTCGAGCTTGTCGCAAGCCTCAGGCTTTCCCATTCTTGCATTATTGAAGCCTTGCTGCCTTGAGCAACAGGCAACACACTGTGATCACCGCTTGATCTCATCCATCATCACTTGCCATGCTTGACCCAAGACTGCTGGCTCATACGAAGCCCTAACTTCCACATGGCCCATATGTCTGGGAATCACAATGCAGACTAAACCCTACCAGCCGATAAACCCTAAACCCTGAGCCCTAAAGCCTTAACGCTAAACCCTAAACCCTAAACCCTAAACCCTAAACCCTAAGCCCTTTTTTTACGGCTAGAACTGCTGCACTGCCTGCCGGAACCCTAAACCCTAAACCCTAAACCCTAAACCCTAAACCCTAAACCCTAAACCCTAAACCCTAAACCCTAAACCCTAAACCCTAAACCCTAAACCCTTCCAAGCGTCCACGGGAAGCCCTCCGCAACATGCAGCGGCTGCCAACAGGCAGCGGTCACCGGCTGGATGTGGCCCTTCCTTGACCAGTTTAGGGTTTAGGGTTTAGGGTTTAGGGCTTAGGGTTTTTTCGCCACCCTCGCCTGTTGGTTTCGACTCTCACGCTGGCGAGATGCGGGCGAGGACTCTGATTCGAGTGAGGGTTTAGGGTTTCGGGGTGCCTTCAAGATCTGCAGGGTTTTTGGGGGGATTTCATTCTCAGCTCTGCGTGAATCTGGAGGAAGATATGGCGCCCCCACCTTCCCCTCCCTGGTTGCCCTGAAGGTATTCTGGGACTTGGGGTCTCTGGAGGCTCTGGGTGGCCTCTGCAGCTCACATTTAGCTTCCGAACTGGGTTTAGGGTTTAGGGTTTTTTTTTTTTGCCACCCGCTTAGCGGGGTTTAGGGTTTAGGGTTTAGGGTGCGGAGCTGCAACTGGTATTGTAGAAAGAAGTTAGTGTTGGGTGTTGAAAGGGTCAATGTACCCGGGAATCTCTTTTGGCTCAAGACTGGGCCATGTGCCTGGTAGTAAAAGGTGAGTGCCCTGTGGTTTGGGTTTGTTGTGTGGTTGATCCAGGGAAATCAAGGGATTCTGTTGGGGTTGACTTTTCGGTTTCTCGTCCCCCTTCGGGTTCCCCCCGTAGGTTATGAGCCCAAATTAGGCTTCCTGCGGTATAGGTAAGATTCTACGCTTGTTTGGCGCAATGGACATGTTGCGGCGTCGGTCGGAACCTGGACTGTCATCCGCGGCCAATGAAGCCGAAGAAAATCGTGGTGATGGGGGTGAAGAACGGCAACAAATGGTACAAGCGCTGACAGATGGTAGGGAGGTTGCAATGATACAACCAACGTCTCAGGTGGAAAACGAAGTGGTTCCGGTTCCAGCAGCGAATCCTTTCTGGAGCGAGCGGGCTCATGAAGAAATGAGACTAAGGCAATCAAGGCCAGCAAGTCTCCCTGCGAGCGGAGGGGATAGGAGTGGTGAAGAAACAAGAAGGCCACCGTCGTTGCCAGAACTTCGGGATCGGGAACCGGTTCCAGCTGAGAGGCCATCTTCAGGGTTGATGGGCCAGATGGAAAGAGGGAATATTGGTGAGACACAAGGCGAGGAAGAGCTCATTCCTGATCTGAGCGGTGAAGAACAAGGTGAAGATATGGCGGTGGTAAAGCGTGCGCTGAAAGAGTTGCTTGTGCAAACAAAGGAGCTGGGGAATAGACTGCATCGGGTGGAGGAGAAAAGCTATACCTCTGCTGCATCTGGGTCAGCTTCGAGAGCACGGAGCACTGGAGTGGTGGACGCAAATGCTGCATATCCGTTGGGAATGACTCCAGAGAAGCAGTACCTGCCAGGACAAGTTTTCTACACTGATGGTATGGGTGGCTTCTGGACTGTGTTGCCTGATGGGACATGGCTGCCGATTGAGGGCTACGACCTTCCAAAGGGTTGTGACCTTCAACCCTTGCCTGAGCCCAGGAAAGGGGAGGTTCACGTGGAGGATGAGAAGGAAGTGCCAATGATGCACGTAACTGAAGGGAAGAAACCCTCCAGATTGCCTCCATTGAATTACCCCATGGGAGGTTCTGCAAGTGGTGGATATGCAAGTGGACCACCTGGTTTAACACATGTTCCGATTACTTCCTTGCCGTCAGGCGTTGATGGTTCTGCCGCACTGTTGGGAAATCAGCCCGGTTTTGTCTCAGCTCGGGAAACTTCAATGCAAGAGAACTCAGCAGGATCGGGTGGATATACAATGGTGGATGACGTTCCATATCGGTGGAAAATGATTGCTGGGAAGTTGGAATTAGAGAAGGTTCCGCTCACAGCGTTTACGCCCGGAATGGGACAAGGACTGCCACAAGGGCCTGGTGGAAAGGTCAGCTTACCTCCTGGAGCTGTGGTGCCACGTGGGATGCCAAACATTGGTGATAGTTCTGGAACTGAACGTCCGGAGGCTCTTGGGAAGCATGTGATGAGCCTTCCTACTTTGGCAGACTACACACCAAGCAATCCGACGGCACTAGGTGATTGGATCGCAATGATCGAACCAATGTTGTCTTCGCTGACAGATACAGGAAGAGTGTGGTGGCAATCCGTCTATACAAAGGCGTATGAGGCGTACGCCAAATGGTTGAGTGTTTCTCCGCTGGAAAGGTTGGGCATCAAGGCTGAGCTGGAAGGGCTCAAGGGGGTTCGAACTGTGCATGTTTTGTTGGAGCAGAGAGCGGTGTCTTTGCTGCTACAAGCGATTCCGGAGAGATTGAAGACCGAGATCGTTTCCACTCGAATGTTGGGGTCGGTGATGATATTTTACAAGTTGCTGACAGTTTACCAACCAGGTGGAGCAAACGAGCGCAGCACGATGTTAAACTTCTTGGTGCAACCATCCTCAGCAACCTCGATCTCGGAGGCTATTAAGGGAGTGCGACAATGGGCGCAATGGCGTTCCCGGTTAAGGGAGTTGCGAGCATCTGAGCCGGATGCTACCTTGCTTATCAAGGGATTGGATGCTTTATCATCCGCGTTGCTGGCAAAGCACCCTACGGTGCATTTTAGAGTGGCATCCTTCCGGGAGAAATTGGGGGTGGACTACTCGCCGACCTCTGAAACTGCGACACAACTAGCTGAAATGTTACAAGCAGAATTCGAACTGCTATTGCATAGCGCTGGTGAACAAGAGGTGAAGCAGGACTCGGACGCCAAGAAAAGGGCCAGGTTAAACAAGGCCCAAAAGGGAACTGGTGACGAGACGGAGGAGGGTGACAAAGGCAAAGGAAAAGGAAAAAGGTACAGCGGGGATGGTGAACGTCCTTTCTGTTGGATATATGGGAAGACAGAAGCAGGCTGCAAGTTCGGATCACGGTGCAAATTTCGCCATGACAAGGACTCCCTGGAGCGTGGAAGATGTTTTGAATGTGGGGCCATTGGCCATTTACAGCCGCAGTGTCCATACAAAGATGGTGTAAGTTCCAATGCGGACTTAAACCCTGAAAGGAATAGATCTAAAGGGAATTCTCCCAAAGGGGGAAAGGGCGGCAAAGGTGCGAAATGGGGAAATGCCAAAAAGGCAGAAGTGGCTGAAGTGGGAGATGAGATGGCTAATGCGGGATTGGATAAAGGTTCTGCAAGTCCCTCATCACCATCCACAACCAATCAGGTCCTTGCTGAAGCGTTGGAAGTGCTGAAATCTATGAAGCTGTCATCAGCGCAGTCAGCATCAAGCGGAGAGCCCAGCGTTCGAATGTTATGTGACTCTGGATTGTTTCAGCAGGACGGGAGAGTGGCGTTGGTGGATACAGCTGCTACGCATCTTGTGCGGACGCTTTTTCCATGGGAATGTTTACCCGACACTACTGTTATGGTGCAAAGCGCGCTTGGTGGTGTGACAATGAGGATTACAGAGAAAGGGACGTTGATTAGGGAAGACAATGGGCCCCTGATTATCCCTCTCTGGTTGATCTTGGAGTTTGGGGCGAACCTCACCGTGATCAATGGGATGTGTCACGTGAGTGCAAAATCTTCGCTGGACCAACTCTTATGGTTTGAACATGGCTGTTTGGTTATGGATTACAAAACAGCTGAGAAAATGGTTTTGCATGCTGAAAGGCAGCGTGCGTCGTTGTCCCATTCTCAATGGAGGAATGGAAGGGCGGACTGTGGAGTCGGTTCGTCTGATGCCACGTTGTTGCCGAAGCAGGGAGAAGGCCGAGGAGTATGCGTTCTACATGTGGCCAGGGTTTCTGACACCAATGAGTGTTCGGGAATGGGCATGTTGGACTCGGGAGCATCACATCCTCTCAGATCACTTCGTCCTGGTGAACAGCTTCCGCAGCAAAAGGTGTTGGTGTCTTTAGCTGTTGGATCTCGGGAGATGTGTATTACCCCAGGTGGGACCCTGGTAACTCCTGAAATGGTAGATCCACTAGTGCCAATTGGCAAAGCGAGCGCCTTGGTTGGTCTCAGAGTTCAGTGGCGTGGTGGCAAGTGCACAGCCTCACATCCTGTTCTGGGAGAACTTCGCGTTCGTGATCTGAATGGGTGCCCTTGTTTGGAAAAGGAGGTGGCGCTTCAGATCATTGATGAAATGGATTGGTGTTCACCAAAGCAAGCATTGAAGGTGGCACGTATGGTTCAAGGGTGTCCGAATACGGACAACGAGGTGGCTGTAAAAGCGTCGTTGCAAAGCGCAGCGCGGACAGCGTCAGCGAATGAGGAGGAGTTCGTCCAGGCATGCTGGCGGTTTCTTCGGTGGTATTATGGGGATATACCAGAAAATATGCTGATGGAGCTGTTGCCACGTGGAGATATTGCGGCGTTGCCTTTCAACCGTCATAAAAGGAGACGGCTGGCACGAGCAAAAAGGGTGGTGGTACACCTATTTTCGGGAAAACAAAAATGGCATTTTCCCAGTCGGGATGTGGAGGTACTGGAGCTGGATTTGAAGAAAGGCGGTGACCTACATAATTCGAGCGTCTGGAAGTATCTTCTGCATCTGGCGGCTGAAGGAAAGGTGGTTGCTGTGGTTGGAGGACCTCCATGCAGGACAGTGTCAAGGTTGAGAGGTGAAGACGGTGGTCCACCTGTATTACGCCGACGCTGTGGGCCTGAACGGTTGGGGTTAAAGAGTCTTCCTTGGCCACATCAAGAATTAGCTCAAAAGGATGGTGTTTTACTTCTGAAGATGCTTTTCCTATATGACGTGGCGGTGCATTCAAGGTGTGGAACTGCTGAAGTCATCAATGGGAGTTCTGTCTTCTTTGGTATGGAAAGCCCTGGGGACCCTGAACTCATAGGGAAGGATTTTTCTCAGAACGGCAAAACGGTCTTGAGTGCTGAGGATCTGGTGGATGGTTCTCAGGAAGGGCTCTCAAGTCCTACCTTCTGGAGTTGGCCAGAGGTGAAAAGCTTTTGTGAGCGTTATGGAATGTACGCTGCACATTTTGATCAGGGAGCATTGGGACATGCTCTGGTGAAACCTACGACTTTCCTGGTGTCTGATATGGAACTGTGGGAATCGTTGGAACAGGTTCGCGTGGTTGTTCCGT